CCCCCACTCTCTTCATATTTGGGCCTGCTCACTGACACCATGCTGTCTGCCTGTGTGTGTTCAGACTCTGTTTTCAGCAGTGGTCCAGGTGTACGCTGCTGACCGAAGCTGCAGCTGGGTGAAACGATGCTGTGGAGTGGCGTGCCTGGTCAAAGACAACCCTCAGAGGTCTTACTTCATCAGAGTGTTTGATATCAAGGTTAGTGAGCATCCCAACAGTTCAGCACCATCATCAGAGGAATGCAGGATAAACATATGAGAGGAATAACAGCAGTGCGATGAAAGCTGATGTAATTTAGTGGGTTTTTTTGTTTTGTTTTCAGGAAGGAAAAGTCATGTTTGAACAAGAACTATACCAGAATTTCTCTATCAGCAGCTCCAGGCCTTACTTCATCTCGTTCCCAGGAGATGTAAGTGTCCAACTCTGTGGTTCATCAGTGCTAAACGATCAGGGGGGTTTCTAACCGTACGCCTCATCCTTCCTCAGAGCTGTCAGATCGGTTTAAACTTCGCCAGCGAGGAAGAGGCCAAACGCTTTAGGATGGCAATCAATGACCTGGTCAACCGGAGGCAGCGGAGAACAGGTGACTTTTATGAATTCAGTTTTACTTTCCCTGCGCTCCTGGCTCTCATCACCTCTTCTGCTTCTGAGTTTCACTAATCTCTCCTTCATCTGGCGCCCAAACCAACCTGCTGCGCTCATGTTCGACTTTGTCTGGGTAATGCAACTTAAATATACACATGATTACAAAACACAGAAGTTCCAACTGAGTGAACCGGGAGTTTGTGGTGTTTGCTGGTTATGGCTGTTAAATTTGAAAAAGAAACTTGAGGATCAAATAATAAAACATAAACAAAGAGTTGCTAAAATTAGTTTACAGAATCGTCTGATCTCTTGCTGTGTGTAAGCTAATATTATCACCATATTTAAAAAAAATATATAATAAATATACATAAAGGGTTTTTACGACCTGTTTTTTTCTGTATAAATCTTAGTCTGTGGAAACTGCAAACAAACCAAGACTAAATTCTGTGTTCAGAGTGTTGGCTCAGACGGACTCGCTCATCAGGGCCATGCATCAGATTAACACTTGGAACCAGTTTGGTAAATGTTTCTGGTCGGTCGGTCCGGTGTGCAGTTTTTTGGAAAACATGAAAACATCAGGAGCAGAGACGAAATGAATAAATGCTAATTCTAGTGAAAGTGGAAGATGAAGAATTTGGGACACGGCTGCAGCCTGTCAGAGGTCGGGATGTAAACAAAAGAAAAAGAAGAGCTGACGCATGTGCTGAGTGGACCGAAGCTACGAGTGGAGGCTAACAGAGTCAAAACGCTCGATGCTGCAGCTGAATAATGTGACAACCATCAGGTTGCAGGATTGAAAAAACAAGATTTGTTACCGAGGGGAAATCAGTGACGCACACACAACTTTGTATTTAATTTAAAAAATGATTTACCCACTAAAGAATCATTATTCATCTTGTTTTGAAAACAATACTAGGAAGACGTCTGTCACACTGTTAATGTGTTCTTCACATTAACCCAGCTGAGTTATGCTCCTCAATGTTGCTTCAAAAAGTTAGATTTGAAAATCTTGCAAACTAATGCACACTTATTCTTTTGTTAGACAAAAACAAAAAAATATATAATGCATTTATAGTTGATGGCCCCGGAAAAACAAAGATTTCCGCTAAAACTATGTGTGTTCATTAGGGTTGGGCGATATTGGCTAAAAAAATTAATCACGATTAATTGTGGTATTTAGTATATGACGATTAATCCCCTGGAGTCCCTGGACGCCTGCAGGCCCTGGTCACATGACCAATTTAAATCACTCTAAAGGGAAAGATTTGCTCTCTGTAAAAATCTGTTCCAAACTGTGTCAAAAATACAGACTTCAGACTATACTTTAATTTTTAAATTGTGTTGGTAGACCAAGTAAAACCAGAGTTATGATAAATAAATTACGGAATGTTTTTTTAAACGTTACTCTGAGTGAACTGACCGTGGAACTCTCAAGTCAGTCTCCCTGATGGCTTCAATCGTATTAATCATCAAGAGCCAAAAAATAATCGATTTCAGTTTTTCTGACGATTAATGGCACACAATTTGCACAACCCCAGGGTTCATGGCTTCTGCAGTTCTGTAGCCGTGTACATGATTTAATTTATAAAAATCAAAACAGCTCTATTTCTTACTTCATACTTTTAGGTAAGATGCCAACAAATTCTGAGGTTTTAAGTTTTTCATAGACACAGCTGAAGTAGTTACTAAAGAACAGTATTGTAGATAAAACTCGTTGGACTATTTTTAATTATTTACCTGAATTTTTTCCAAATGTTTCTGGGGGCAGCAAGTCCCTGGACCCTGTTAACATGAAGGGTGCACACCCAGTTCTCTACAGTGCATCTGTGATGCTGCTTCAGATGGATAATCAAAACATTTTTCATTTTTTTTCATTTCATTTTATTCATTTATTCATTTAATTAAAACAAAGCAAACAATTTATATACAATAAAAAGAAAAATATAAAAAAAATTAGAAAAACAGTATATGTGTATCAAGATCTCAAATGAAATGAAAGGTAGCAGAGAGAAGAAAAAAATCTTATAATATCTGCTCCTTTTCTCCCAAGAATACGTTCATACAACAAAAAATATATATCATTAACAAAACAAAAGACAAGAACATCTAATCTCTCTAGAATAACAGTTAATATAGGTACATTTTATACTGTTTCATATTTTTTTAACAATCAAACCTTTATCATTTTTTTAAATGTACACAATGATCCTGCATTTTTAACATCACTCTTCAAATCATTCCACAGTCTTATTCCTAGAATTAAAGTACACCGTTCCCTCAAACTAGTTCTGTCTGGGTTTTACAAATATCTCTGTCCGTTTAAGGTTATAACAACTTTTTCTCTTAACAAAATCCACCTGGATATTTAAAGGTAATGTGTTTCTGTGGGCCTTATACATAACCAGTAGGATACTATAATCAACCAAATCGGAGAATTTCAATATTTTCAGTTTACAAAATAATGAATTTGATGGGTAGCGACAATATTTTCCAGTAATAATTCTCACAGCTCTTTTCTGTAATAAAAAACTGGATTTGTAATTGTCCTACACGCTTTCCCCCAGACGTCAATACAATAAGCCAGGTGTGGACCTATTATTGCATTATACAACGTATACAGTGCTTTATCATTAAATAATCCCCTTACTTTATACAGAACAGCAATAGATTTAGCCACCTTTGTTCTTAAATAATTTACATGAGGTCTCCATGTCAGCCCTTCATCTATCGCTATACCTAAAAACTTCACTTCACTGACTCTACAAATCTCTACCCCCTCGACTTTAAATGGAACATCAATAGTTTTCTTTCTATTACTAAATATCATACAATTAGTTTTCTATAAATTTAATGACAACTTATTAAGTCTAAACCAAGTTTGTATTTTAACAAATTCCGCTTGCATCTTTACCAAAATATGATCTACACTCACCGGCCACTTTATTAGGTACACCTGTCCAAC